TTATAATTTAATTTTTGGTATTGTTTTTTGAAAATTTTTTTTTAATTTCAAAACGATTTAATGAATTCCTATGATTTTTTTAATATTATAATGCATTTTTTATTATTTTAATTTATGTACATAAATACACACACACATTAATGACTTAATAAAATTTTTTTTTTTTATTATCTTGTTGTTTTTTTGTTGTTATATGTATATTTTTTTTTAAAGGTATATTTTAAGAACAAATTTTCGCTCTGATTTTCTCAAAATTTTATTGATTTTGAGAAAAAACAACTCTTTAAATTTTATAAATTTAATGGTTATTTATTCAACAGGTTGTTTAAAACTAATATAAATTGTAAATTATATATAGAAAAAAAAATAATTTGTTACTTTATATAATTACTTTTTTTTTTTTATTTTCTAACTAGAATTTTAGATATTTTTTTTTTTGTACAGATTTTGTAATGTAAACACTGTCGTACAATAAAACTGAAGAACATACGTAGAAAAAATTTCTCTATTCTAAAATATTCAGTGAATAAGAAGAATAAAATGTACATACACATATAGGTATGTACATATAGTATATACATAACATTCAATGACATTCATAACGTCATTTTCTTTTATAAAAACATTATACTGGTATTTATATAAAGAAAAAATTTTATAAGATACAAAATTTAGGATACATGCATGTACAATTTATTATATACATACGTATTTATGTATGTACATAATAATAAAGTTCATAGATATAGTTTTACATATAAACAATGTTAATATTGTGAGCATTTATATTAAATCATTTATTTATATTTTCTTTTAACTTTGATATAATACAAAACTAAATAAGTATAACATATACTTGTGCATATATATATACTCGTAAATGCAAATAAATAAATTCATTTAATTTCATTGTATATAAACTGTAGTAAATATATATATAGAAAAATAATTCTTCAGTTACGTACCATTCTGTACAAATTCATTTTTACAAAATTTCCAATTTTATTGGATTTCTTATAATAAATAAATATTTTTTTAACAGGTTTATAATACATGTGCATATACACATGCATATATCTACATATAATAGATAGAAACTGTAATACATAATAATTGTATATAACAAAAATAAATAAAATTATAATAATACTTACAGGTTACTTAACAGTTTAATTATCCACATTGATAGGCCTCTTTTTTGTATTAGCTGCTGCTTTAGCTGTTTTTGATGGCAATGATATTGATGAGAATGTTGATAATGATAATGAAAAGAACATAAATTTTTGTTGTAAATTTGTTGTGCGCATAAGTAACACGTGTATCTATACATTAATAATATAAACAAAATTGGAATATAAATATTTTTCACTTCTTATTTTTTAACGAATAAAAAATTTATTTTTAATTTTATTCTTTTGAAAAAGGAAAATAAATAAAATTTTTTAGAAATTTTTTTTTAACAAAAGGAAAATTTTATTTTTTTATTTTTTATTTTATTTTTAGTTTTTTATTCTAATGGATATTTACACTTGGGATTACGATAAATAACTAAAAGTTTTACTTATTTTGTGCTTTTATCAATGATTTCTATAATTTTTTATAAATTGTTTTCAATGTGTTTACATATTGTTATACAATAAAAAAATACAATACATTTTTTTTGTTAGTATATTTTTTGTACATTAAGTACCCATGTACATACATATAATATGTATACATTATGCATTAGCGAGTATAAAAGAGAAATACGTGTAAAAAAGAGTAAAAATATAAGTGCATAATATTTGTAAATAAACGTAACTACATACATACATAATTATGAGTATTATGTACATGCACAATTTCAATAAATAAACATACATTTGGTGTACATATCGCACGTTTTAAAGAAGAAAACAAATTTTTTTAAATATTTCTTTTTATTTTGATTTTTATGATTTATAATAAAAATTCATAATACTTTCACAAAACGTTCAGATGCAAACAATTTAAAAAATTTTGTAACTCGTGAATTTTCGGTATATATAACTTTATATACTTACATATGTATACTCATACACGGGTATATATGTAAAAGTACAAATATTTATAATAGTAATATTATAGTCGGTTTTAATGAATGATAACTATTTAAAGTCAGCTTCGGATAACTTACTAATTATTAGAATTAATATTCTCTATTTAAAATTATAATTACAAATAACAAATTTATAAAACCAAATATATTTTGTTAAGATATGCAAATATTTTTTCTTTTTATTTGAATTCTTATTACATTATGTATAATAATCTGGTCAATAATCTACACATTGCGTACATATTAACGAATTACATGCCATAGCATTTATTTGTAACATACACTATTATATGTGTAACCTTTATATTACATAATAACCTTTATTTTAAATTTAACACAATTTAGTAATTGCAATCCTGTCCCTGTTAATTGTTCCCGTTTCCTCCAGCATTTTAACTAAAATTCAGTTACTTTCCAAATTTATGGAATAATATTATGTCATGGAACGCTAAACATGGATATGGAATGCTTTTCGTGTTCATTATCCAATATGCATATACATCTGCTAAAAATTAATAATCTTTTATATATAAAAATGCACAAAGATAACGTTTATCTGCAATTATCACGTATTTTAAAAATATGTACATAATATATTGTAAGTACTAACATGTACATATGTACATATGTTTATAACTTTTTCTGTTTTATAAAAACCAGGAAGTAAAATAAAAGCTTTTTTCAAAAGCTTTAAAAGAATATCAAAGTATAAAATTATTTTTTTGTATAATGTATTATAAATTACCTATATGTACACGTATGTATGTGTGTTTTTAGTTCAAAGTATCATAATAATATAACAAAAAAAAATCTGATGTGATCACCACATAACCGACCGCAATATGTATTGTCCAGTTAAGTGAAAATGTTACAGAATATTATAAAAATGTATGTTAAATACTTTTTTCAAATTTTTAGAACATTAGTAAACTTATAGGTAACATACCTAGAAAAATATAAATTTGGCTCTTATTAGAACTTCGCTTTGTGCTACACGAATTCTCTGAAGTCCTCGCCAGTTAGTTCTGGTAACTACCTGAACTCAAATATCAAATTTCAAGAAATTCTATCAATTCGTTCCGCAGATATGCTGAAAAATGTAAAATCGACCCGCAGATCAGTTTTCGAGCCCTGATCTTTTCGAAAAAATTTATATGTTTTAGTACGAAGAATTTAAATATTAAATTTCAATGAAATCGTTTAAATATTTCTCTTTATATACGCAAAAATGTATATTTGGCCCGTAGTAAATGTGTAGTTGCTGACGCCTGATTCTTTCCAAAAGTTAGGAAATTTCGCGGACGGTCGAGCGAAGCTTATATATGATTCAAGCAAATCGGTTGAATATTTTCTTTAAAATAGTCAAAAATGTAAAACAGGCCTGATGTATCCCAAAAGTTGATCAATCCATGCCATGATTGAAATAAACTTACATATAAAATTTCATTAAAATCGGTTCAGCCGAACTTGAGATACACGCGTCCACACACAGACCGACAGTTTGCTAAAAATTGTTTACTTACACCACCGAAAACTCGATATGCAAAATTTGTTACCATCACATATCCTACATATTGTATACACAATACAATATATGAAATTTTTAATTTGACATCCAGCGCTTAATTTTAAAATTTTAGCTTTTGTAAATATTATAAGTATATGTATGTACATAAAGTACAACATTTACCGCTGATTTTTAGAGTGAAAATGAAAAATTTATTATAAAAAGATTAACGCTAAAAGACTATTTTAATTAAAATTACGGTGAATTGAGTTTATTTACAATACAGATTAAAAGTCCGAATCTCCTTTTCAAGTGGTAAAATAAAATTTTAGCACAACTACATACATATGTATGACTAATTTAATAGTAAATTTGTTTAGATTGGCAAAGGAATTTTTTTTTCAATAAGAAATTTAACCAATATATCACTTTATTTCCCTTCTTTCTTATATATTCGCAATCCATATTTCCCGCAATTTTTGCATAATCCATATATCACAATATCCATATATCGTAATATGTGATGATCACGCGTTAAAAGCGTTTAAAATTAGAGATTTTTTTAAATTTCTCCAAAAATATTTTTGCTGAAGCCTATTATCATATATTGAATTCCCAGTGATCACAAAAAACACTTAAAATCGCTCTATCTCTTCTATTTTAGCCAGAAAACGCGTTTAAAGTTTTGCAAAAGATTTGTTAAATATCTTCAAAAATAATTTTGCTACAGCCTATTATCATATATTGGCAGAATCTGTGAATTCCCAGTGATCACAAAAAAAACACTTAGAATTGCTCTATCTCTATAATCTTAAATATTTTATTTATGAATAATTTATATTATGTTCTTTTAATTATAATTATTTGTTAATACATTATAGTCATTAATTTTGTTTTTAACTTAATTTAGTTATATTTTTCATTTTTGAATAAACATTAACTTTATGTTTTAGAATACATTTTAAAATTGTGAATGTTTTCACAAAATACAATAAAATTGTGAATATATTTAAATAGGGAAAAAAAGTGAAAAAGTTGTGAATTTTGAAAAGCACAAGTAATTTACGCTGGCATTGACAGTTTATAATTTTAAATATATAAATGTTTATAAACATAACAACCATAATGTCTATGAAAAGGTTTGAAACTTGGGAAAAATAAACTGTGAATTTATTTATATTTGTTATAACTGTAGTTCTTTTAAATTCGTAAGACAAGTTTTTTTTTAAAACATTTAATTTATATTTAACAACTAAAGCCACATTATTTATTTGAATACATTTGGATGTGTATATGTATGCTGTGTATGTAAATACAATGGAAATATACAAATAACTACGGAAACATATCACTGCGGTGACTGGTCCTTTCTTTGCATTTGAAATAAATTTTTATTGGCATAAAAATTGTCAGCATATGCAGGTATGTATATATGTAAATGCACTTTCTAGCAAAATTTTAAATTTATAAGGGATGCAATCTTATAAATTATGTAAATTTTTTGTAAAAACTACGTACATACATATGTATGTACGTTATATTAAAAACATTAGTATTGTCGTTTTGGCGTTTAAAGGTTTAAACATTCGTCTTTCGAAATTTATAAAGTTTAAATTCATTTTATATTCTATTTATAACAAAATCAAATTTAATTTGTAAAATTTCATTTACCTTATCTAAGTATGTATATATATATATATATCTACATGTGTTGTCATTATTACTCGGCTAACAAAAAAAAATTAAATTATGGCAATTGAATGTTAGTTATATTAGCTTTTGCTCAAAATTTTATTGAAAATCTTATCTTTCCTCGAATATCCAGTTTAAACTTCCTGTACACATTTTATTTACTGATTCTTTGAAATTTTATGTTTTTAAAAATCTTTATCTTGCGTATATTTGTTTATACATACATTCTAAAAGTATATTGTCAATCACTCAATATGGGTTTAACTAGTTACAAATAATATCAAAAAATAAATATTACATAGAAATTACAATGAAATCCAAAAAAATCTAAAAATAGTGCATAAACTGGATTCTAATTTTACTTAGTTACAGGAACTATTCAATTATAATTTTAGTACTTCGTTGCCTTAAGCAGATTCATATATTCTTGAAAAATTACTTTTGACTCAACTTTTTTACTTTATTGGAAACTTTTATATAAAAGGTAATTTTCAACACAATTCCGCTGACATTAAGTCATTTATATTTGAATAAACATCATTCTAAAATGGTAATTCACTCCGATTATAATAAAATTAGTAACATAATGAAATATTTTATTTACTTATTTTTTTTAGAATATTTTAGAATTGTGTCTAATATTGGTAGTTTCGTCAACAGCGTATTGTTCAATACCTTTTGATTACACTATTCTTGGAAACAATGTTGCACCATTTGAAACTAAAGCAATCAATTTTATACCATTGCCTTCCCATGGTCCAATGAGCAGTCAATCTTTACTCGAAGAATTCCTCAAATCACGAATGCCAGCTGCTGAATATGGTCCGCCAAAAAAAGATGAAATGTTATTTAGGCCAACAACAGAACCTGCTAAAATGGAATCTACTACTACAGAAAAACCATTTACACCAGAAACGAAATATGCTGCAACAGAAAAAAGTGAAATGTCTTTTATGACCACTGAACTCCCTCCAATGAAAATACCAAAAGTATATTTGCCACCTGGATTACCTGAATTACCCCCAGCCCCAGAAATACCATCAACAACAACAACAACCACTACAGAAAGCACATTCATGGAGAAAAAAATGGATAAAGAAGAAGAAGAAGAACGTAAACCAGCAGAAGAATATGGTGTTCCTACATTTGACGAAATTTCTTTTATGCCTCCTCCAAAAACCGATATGAAAGTAACAGTCAAAAAATATTTACCACCAGGTTTGCCTGAATTACCTCCAGAACCAGAATTTCCTTCAACAATGGCAACTGAAGATTTATTAGATAAAGAAACAAATGAAATGAATAAACCAAAAGAAGAATATAGTTCTCCAACTAAAGATGATATGTTATTCAAACCTTATCCAGAACCTAAAATTCCAAAAGTATATTTGCCACCTGGATTACCAGATTTACCTCCAGCCCCAGAAATATCTTTAATGACAACAGAAAGTTCATATGAAAAAGAAACACCAAAAATGGAAGAGATGATTATTATGCCAGCTGAAGAATACTCTGAAGAAATGATGCCTGAAAAAATGATTATGCAAGAAATTCCAGTCGAAAAATTACCAGAACCATCACTTGATCTTCCCAAGAGAGAAAATGAACCTGAAAGTCCTGAAAACGAATACAGCTTTACAAAAGATGGCAATAATTTTAATTTTAAAATCAGTGTAACGTCTAATTCAAATTCTTATCCACCGTTGCCGTATTTTTTTGCACCTCATAATCCACAATTTTTCCCATACCCTTCAGCGCCATATCCACCACAAATACCCGCAATACCAACTCCTCCTCCATCGTATGGGCCACCAATAACAGAAACTAAAATGGAACCAACTACGTTACCTCAAGCAGAATTAATGAGAATGCCAGAAATGGAAATTATGTCAGAAATGAATAAAGATGCACCATATCCAGCGCCTGAAATAATTATGGCAAAAACAACTTTAGAACCAGCAACATATCCACCAGCTACAACTGAACTACCACCTATGATTATCTCTCAGGAAATAAAACATTATATACCACCAACACCATCTATTGGAGCTCCATATCCACCACCCTTACCATATTCAACATACGGGCACCTGTGATCTAAAACAAAATAGATATACATATACATATACATATATATCTTTTTATATTTTATTCTTAATACGAAATTAATGAGAGGAATTTTATTTAAATTAAAGTACATAAATATATTATTAAAATATATAAATAAGTAAATAAAACATAAGTATATAATTATTTGTTGTTTTTTTTTTTGTTTTTAATATTTTTCATAAATACATAATTATATTTGTATATTTTAATTTTATTTACAAAACAAAATAATTTTATTATTAAGAATTAATTCACAAAAAATGTTATATTGTACAAAAATAAATTATATAATTATAAAATAAAACTTACAAGAATATATTTTTAAATTAAGTATATGTAAAATTATATAATTATTAATTAATAATTAAAAAAAAGGTTTGTTTATATTGTTTTTATGATGTGAATTTGTTTGAAGTTGGAAATTTAAACTTAAAGTTAAAAGATTGATTTTGATTTTAATTTGGAAATTGAAACCAGATGTAGGATAAAATAAAAATATTTAAATAAATATTGTGAAGAGTTATAGTTAAAACATTCTTGACTTGAAATTATCGTATACAAGCTCACATCATTTAATAAATTTTTTGCAAATTTTTTATATATTTCATATTAAATAAATATTTCTCCGTAACGGATATTCATTGGAAATCTACATTACATAACACAATTTAAGACGTTATTTTTTTTTTTTTTGCTTTAAAAGTTACTTTTTTAATGAAAGTCTATTACTAGAGAAATATTATGACATTTTCATTTATTTTAATTTACTTATTTTTCTGCATAATATTTAATTTAATGTTATACATATTTACAAAAATAAATCAATTTAATTAAATTTAATTTTAGAAAATTTTAATTTTTTTGAAAATTTATAAACATTAAAATTACTTTGCTTTTGCAGTATAATAATTTCTTAATGCAGAAAAATAGCATATTATACAAAGAATAAATTCATTAATATTATATGTAATTTTGTAACACCATCCAATTTTTTTTGAAAATTTTTAATATTTTTATTTAAACTAGATTTAGTATACTTTTTTCTTTTGAAATTATACACTGTTTCTAAATTCTGATGGTGCTTAATGCATATTTTTACATTTATATTAATGAATTTACTCTTGAATGTAATATGAATTTTATTCATATAACTATTTTTTTTATTTTATTATTTATTATAATTTTTGATCCAATTCCTTTAATAATGAAATATGGCAAGAATTGTGGTTATTTTTTTTGTATTTTGTTTTTTTTTTCTATTATTTTTTTTAATATCTAAATCTAATACTATTAATTTGGGTGTTAACGTTACGTACAATTAATGTGAAAATAAGTTATAAAAAAAATGTCCAATATCTTAACTAATTTATTAAAATAAAAAATTATACATAGAATGTTGTTAAAATGGTGCTTAGAACAAAGCGTACAATGTGCTTTTTTTTTTGTTTTACTATAACTATAATTTTATCGTTTGTTTCTTTCCTATATATAAATTTAAGAATATAAATTAAATACAAATAAAATATTGCAATTTTTCTTAACTCTTTTCTTTTACATTTTGAAGGAAGCCATAAATTTTTCAAAATTAATTGGAGTTTAAAGTGTTGCCATTCAAAAATCTCAAGGAAAAATCATTCCCCTGGTTTCTAATAAATTATAACATCATTTTATAGTTAAAGAAATATAGTTTAGAAAAAAAATTTAATTTTGAATAAAATTAAGGGTAAGATTATTATTAAGAAAACAGGGGGGGTTTCTTTTATAATTGTTTTTCAATTCTGGAACTGTTCTTAATTAAAGTATAAATATTTTTTTAAGAATGTCAATTTTTAAAAATTGGAAAATATTGTTATAGAACAAAAAAAATAAATTAAGAATTTGCAATAATTATTTGAAATTTTAAAGCTATCAAAATTTAAAAAAAATAAATTCAATTCATTTTAAAATTTCATCACTTTTCATAATATAATGTTTTTTGAATGTTTTTCTTCTTTTCTTGATTTTTAAAACTATATTGGCCTTGGATCGTATGGTGTTGCATCGTGTCCGACATAACGATTATTTTTTCTATGTACAAAACCTTCTCCTGGTGCTGTATTATAATAAGTTACCCTACGTATACCAAATGGATCAATATATCCAAAACTACCACGTCTATAATTCGGGTCACGATTATCTTCTTCATGATATTGTTTTGGTAAATAATAACTAAATCCATTTCGATTTAAGGAAATTCCATCATATTCTGGAAATTGTGGATCATATCCACTACCCAAATTATTATTATATTCTAATGGTGCAACTCTTAATTTATATGAATCATCAATAGATGCTATCGGTTGTCTAGAATATAAAGGTTTAACTGTTATATCATTATCTTCAATTGGTACAATTGAGCCAATTGTAGGTGATTCATAATTTGGTCTCGATGTCGTTGAATGTATAGGTTGTATTGTACTTATATGATTATGATAATCTGATGGAGATACTGATGATATTGGATAATTTGAACGATATGTTGTTGAATAATATGGTGTACTAGTTGATTTATATGCAGGTTTTGCAGTTGAAAATGGAGTTGGTGATGATAGTGGTGGAATTAATGTTGATGAAATATAAGCAGCATCTTTAGATGATATAGGGCTTGGTGTTGATGATATAACTGCTATCGGTTTAATTTGCTCATCACGATTTCTATTATCAGAATGTGGAGGTAAATATGTTTGTGAAGGTACTGCTATAGGTCGTGATGTTGTTATCGCAAAATCGTTATGTGATATCGAATTATACGAATTTTCTTCTAATGGTTGCGAATGATGACGTACAAAAACTTGTGGTGTTGAATAATCAAATCCATTATATGGTATAGCTGTACTTGTTATTGGCCTATGTGTTGTTGATATAATTGGAGTATATGTTGTTGGTCGGTATGTTGTTGAAGATATCGGTTGCGGCGTCGTTGGTGGTGATATTGTTGTCGTTGAGTAAGACGGACGGGATGTTGTTGTTCGCAACCCTGAATATATTGTTGTAGGTCTATATGTAGTAACTGGTACAATATGAGCACGAACAGGAACTGATGAACTTATGGCATTAGATGGTAAACTTTTAAAAGTTCGAACAGCATCCTATTTTAAATAAATTTTCAATAAAAAAATAGTAAATACTTATAATTATAATCTGTATATATGTTAAGGAATATCAATTAACACTCACTTCAATACTTCGACCATGTCCCACATAAAAAGTTTTTGATTTTAATATTCGATATCCTTGATCATCAGCTATATAATCTTTTGCTCTAAGAAATCCAGCCGCATCTATCCATGCATCAGTACCTTTACCAAATATCAAAAAAAAAATGAAAAAAATGTGTTATCAAAATCAATTGCTAAACTTCGAAGAGTTTACCTATAACTGTACCATCTTGCAATCGCTTTTCTTTTCTGTACTGCCCATTATCGGTTTGATATCGAAAATATCTTTCGTTTCCTTCGTCCGTTTGAATATGATATTGACCTGTGCCAGTACCCCAATATGCGTTGCATACTGCTGTATAAAGCTACAAAATAAATAAAATAATAAAATTAAAATGATTGCAGTTTTGTCAGATTTTAAATAGTTTTTCATTTATGCAAAAAAGAAACAAATAAAACCAATAAATCTAAATGTAGGGCTAAACTTTCAAAATTATGCCTTTTGTATATTAAATAAATGTAGTACAGTTTGGTATTTCCATAAGCTTACTACATAAATTTCTTAAAATATAGAAAATTTAATTTGAAGTTACTTATAAAATTAAATTTCTTCCTTACGGATAACGATATGAGAGTGCTCTAATATTATTTCAAAGTGATAAAATGAGAACAGCAAAAATTTTCAACCCTTTTTTTTTCTTCAAAATCTTTTCTTTCTTTTTATAGCTTTATAATTTGAGTGTTAAAAGATTTCATACTGTTAATTTGCTTCATATTTTGTAGTAATTACATTTTAGCTTCCAATTTTTTATAGTTCAAATTACTTCAAATTAGGCATAAACAACACTTTATATACTGTCTTATAACTTGTCTTTAAAATCACATAAAAAAGAACAACCAAAATTTTTGATTGATGTGCTTAAAATTTATTGTAAAAAAATTCAGGTCAAGGTAAAACAATTTTTCAAAATAGAAAATTAAATCTTTCCTATGTAAAAGGTGGAAGATAAAAAACAAAAAAAAAAGAAATATAACGTTGCTTTAAGAGTTTTAAACCGTTTTTCAATTCCAAAATAAACAAAAATATGTGTCTAAAATATATATGTATTTGTGTGTATAATATATATATGTACAGATGTTCACATTATAAGAAAGGTGTTAAAACTTTTCCACATAAAAAACTATTATGTTTTGTTTTTGGAATAAACCATAGTTGAGGGCAATTTAATCAAGAAATCAAAAATAATATTGAGTGTCATATTTAAGTGACAAACTATCCGTAAATGTTATTAATCGTTTGAGAGAAACATGAATTTTCAGATTGAAGATGATATGGAATTATAATAACAATAACGAAATGTTTACAGTTATTTTTTCTGATATTCCCAATTGAACAGATTAACATTCGAAATTTCAAAAATATTTTACAATGTATATTCACAAATTATAATAAACCTTATTTCGTTTCATAATTTAAAAACAACTTGTACCTATTTATATTCATAATCAATTGTAGGGATTTTGATATTTTTGACACATGGAATATGTCGTTTAAAAATGTTTTATAACTATTTGTATGTATACGCACAACGTCCCCTGAATTTCCGTTATGTATGCGATTTCTGTCCCCCAAATTTTCATCTTACATTTTCGTGTTGTGCTTTACAATACTACATGTATTACAATATAGAATACAAATCTATATCAATATAAATTTAATAACAAATGTTACTTTTGCTTAAATAGCAATTCTTAATTGTAAAGAACTTGCAAATAAGGTAAAATAATGCTTTATCTGCTATTTATAACGATTATATGTAAATTTATTTAATTAAATAATACATACACATAGATTTATGTATATCAGAAATGAAATGAAGTTTTATGTATCTGTATAATGTAAAATAATTTAAAAGAACCCGATAAGGAATAATTCTTATACATACAATGTGCTTAGATCTTTCGTAATTGAACTAAGCATATTGTATACTTATGTAAAAAATTTAATATTCTTTATGGATAAATATTAATTTTTTTTGTATTCACAATAAAAACACAGAACCCTGTTAAATCTTTTTTAATTTATATAATTATAATTCTTAAAAATTCATTTAATCGCAAAGAAAAAATTATTTCAATTTATAAAAACTCAGCCTTTAGGCGATCATATTTGTACAGAGATATTACCATAATATTATAATATTGACTCATAATATTCAGTCATAATAAAATTATATTGTATTGAAAAAGTTAATAACACCCTATACAATGTATGTCATATTGTGATACAAAAAAATTATACTGGTAGGTGGAAATATTTTGTACCAAATTAGGAATAATATTGTTTGAGATTTTTTTTTTATTACACAAATTTCCAAATTAATTCATAACATCAACGAAGAGTACAATATAATTATTGTTATATGAATATTTTCACATTTTTTTTCTATATATTATACATATATATGTACATGTATACATAAAATTTCGAAAATTGTTTTGATTTTTAAATAAAATAACTATGTACAATACATATATAAAATACAAAAATCTAAAGGTCAAGTTCAATTAACTAAAACAGTGTATAGAAATTTTTTTTGTTATTAATTAAAAATAGTTTAGATAAAATTTAAAAACAAACCTAAATTAACTAACTTATCAGAATATCAAACAGATTAATACTGCGACGCTATAAATTATAATATAAAATCTTTCTTTCAAATAAGAATTCATTTGACAGTTATGTTAGATATTGTCTATACTTTAATCCCAGTCATACATATAAAGGATTTCAGAATTTTGTCATCGACAAATAATAGAAAATACTCTATTCTCATCTGATTTACTGTCAGACTTTTTAAATGACGAAAATTAGTTTTTTTTTGTAAGAGGTTTGAGCATCGATTATCTGCTTTCTATTTTCGTTATGATTTTCGTTGCAAATTTTGTTGAATTTTGACGTAAAATGTAAGATAATTTCAGTCTGATATTGTAAAGTTAATTTTAGATTTTGTCGTATAGCATGTAAAAAGGACCTTAAAAATAAGAATATTGTGGTTTTTGAGCTGAGTTATTTTGACTACAACAAATTTATCAAACATAAATTAGTATCGAATCAAACTAGTTTATTAGTACCTCTGGGATAAACTGAGCGTAGAGAGAGAAAAAACGTCACTTAAAATAAAATGAATGTCAAAATTTCATACCAAAATTTTTTTCCATACGAATTTTCATACAAAATACATAATCTCCTCAGGATGACTACAGATCTCAATCAAGCTTGTACATGCAATAAACTCGCAATATTTTATTTGAAAATTTCTTACTTATTTCAATATTATTAATATAGCAAAATGTTTTTTCTAACAAATTCCAAAATAGTTTTAAATTTTATTACCTGCTTAATTGTTATTACCTGCTTTAATAAATTACCTTTGTTTACAAATAAAAATTTTCCTTTTCATACGCTTTGTGTGATAAATAATTATTGTTGTTTTGCATTTTATTCAGTAATTTTTTGTGTTCTAAAAATTTTTTTTCAACTTTTAATTTTTAAGTTTTCAGTTTTCAAAAAATAACAACAAAAATTATTTTTTAACTTTCCTTTTGTACAAAATGATTACATAATAAAAAAAATGAAAGCAAGTCAAAATAAATTGAAGTCACCAGCTTTTTAGTTTGATTTTTCTTTTTTTTTTTAAGGTTAACAATAATATAAAACAAAGAAGGTGAATATGAACCTACACATTTCTTTTTCAGCTTTAACTTACATTTATAACTAATAGGTACTTTATAAAATAACAATCATTAGAACACGATTTTCACCTTTGAATCTTTTGAAATAACCCACTCCTTCAACAATGTTGAGAAAAAATATAGTTGGGTCAAACCAATAGTTTGTAATGTAGCACTTTTCCCTTCAACAAGTGAAAATACTATTTTGATAAACAATCTGTGTGCTACATTATTAAAATTAGTTTCACTCATGTACGAATGTATTTCAAAAATTGCATACATTTAGAAAACTAATTATATTTTTTAATGGTATGGCATTTACCGTTAGCCATTACCGGGTTAGTTACCGGGGGGAGACATAGGTAAAAATTTTCTTCTACGCAAATAAGTTTCTAGTAAAAATCTACGTAATACGTTCAGTTCTGAAGTCAAATATCTTCAAGGATATTCAAGTTTTATAAACATGTTAACGGACAGATGGACTGGCAGAGAGAAATTAATAAGCAGTTTCTTTCAAAATTTTTTTGGAAAAGTGCCAAAAAGGAAAAAAAATATTTAATTGTGACTTAAAAATAAAACTAGGAGTAAAGATTATCAAAAAAAAAAAGGAAAATACCAAATAAAATCTAAAGATCAAAATAAATTTTTGAATTGGATAAAGGAAACATTGTATAATATTGAACTTGTATCTTGAGTAATACAAGAATTGAATCGTAGAATCGTGGTCAAATATTTTCAAAAACTTCTTCCTCATACATTTTTCTTTTTTTTATCTTTCTTTTTATTATGTCAAACTAGTATTTTTGTTTATAAAAGTACCATTATAAAAAATATACATACGTATATAGAAACGTCACATGTACTTTCCAAATAAATTTTTAACGCTATCGGGCGAAAAATTTTTGGAAATTCCATTTTATTTATAATTGAGATAAAAAATTTCTAAGTAACATAAATATAAAAATTTCTCAAAATATTTATAGCTAAAAAATTAAATCCCAATTTTAAGAATTTGACGAAAAATGCTCAAGTGTTTTTTTTATTGTGTGATAGAATTTGTCACTCAAAATCAAATTGAAATCATGACATTTCCATATCAAATTATTTTTTAAAAGAGAATTAAAATAATACAAACTTATAAATACTTATTAAATAAAACTATAGAATTTTTTGAACTTCATTCTGAAGATTTTTTCTTTATTTTCACAGTCAAAATAATATTGACGTTGTCATTTTAAAGTAAAGAAAGGGTTAAAAATCCAAACGCTTAAAAATAATAAAAAAAAAATAAAAGTAGTGTAAGTACAATAAGAAGTTTCATTTTTATTTCAACTTGTAATAATGTGGTCAACTACAAAAAGCTCATCATATATAAACATTTCAAAAGTTTTTTGAACCTTTGAGGAAGAAATTATAAAAGTAACTAACTTTAAAAATAGTGTTTTGAATGATATAGACAGTATGAAATTGCTACTTCCCATTCGACATAACACGTTTAACATACATATATATTGATATTTTGTTGTTCTGCATAGCACACTAGCAGCATATACACATATGTACATACGTAAAACTATGTATGCTCTGCAATATATATTAATTTTTTTGCATATGTACGTTTGAATGTGAA